CCATTTATTTCCTAAAGCCTCCAAATTTGTCATTTTTTTCCATAAATGCTAAATGACACAAAAGGCAGTTTCTGGTTGATTGCACTCTATATACAGTACTGTGCAAGTCTTGGGCAACAATTTCTTTATATTTTGCTCAGAAAATATATTACAGCACCACTGGCCTCAAACTGTGTTAGAAGCTCCTATTTTATTCACTGTTCACTCTTGCCTTCCCTCAAACGTTGTAGCAGTTTGAACCAAGAATGTCAGATTTGGCTTGACTTGTTGCCATTGATTTTTTTGAATACAGTTCTTGTGTAATCTTCCTCTCTTGTCCTTTAAGAACCACACCTTGCCAAGCTATGCCAAGTTTCTAGTGAAGAGCTGTGTGGAATTGCCTTATGGGTAAAACGACGAAAACAAAAAAAAACAATTTTATGCCTTTCGAACTCTGTTATTATCACCATTTATCTGATATTCAACAAAAGAAACTGGTCAGATAGTTTCCTGTTGTGTGCGTTTGTTTTGTTTTGTTTTCAACAGGCTGCTCCATTTTTCTAAGTGGCTTAAACACAAAATACATTCCTCTTAAAAAAAACAAACAAACCAAAAACAAACAAACTTTGAAAGACCTTCAGAAAGATCTGTTTCTGAAGACTACTTTAAAAAATGAGTCATTGGAAGCAAAATATAAAGAAATGAGGGTTGACCGAAGACTTTTGTACAGTAAAGAAAGAAAGAAGGTGCATTTCCCAAACCCCCGAATACCCTCACATATTTACTGCATATAATGATGGACAGTCATAGCATTGGTGAAGTGCATTAAATTAGTTCCAATAACTATTGTGGTAGCAATAGTTATTACAACTGTACATATTTTTTTTACAATTTATGAGAAAATGATGTTACCTAACATCTTAATTGCATTTTGATTGTTAATTTAGCTCATACAGATATAATGGAGGTGACCCATTTCTTGTAAAGCTCTGGTATCAAATAGTGTTTTAGTGAAGAAATTAACCTAATAAACAAAACTAGCCAACACTGAAGTTTCAATCATCCAGTTATAGGATAGTGGGTATGATTAGTACTTTCCAAATGTTTATGCCATTAATCAGTGATGATATTGACAGAAGTCTCAATGTGACAATTGTAGTCAAAGTGAAATCTGTAAACGTTTAAAATGAAAAACAATCTCCTCAGAACTGTGCAGCAGGTCATCACCTACATATGTATAAGCGAGAAAAAAGGAATTACCCTATAAATACTATGAATTAATAAATAGTGTAAGTATGATGACAGGTGTTATTTATGGTTTTGGACAACTGTTATGTTTTAATCGATTTCATAAGTTTGTTAAGAACAGGTGCATAATATCATACCACATTCAAATAGCATAGTAATTTGGTAAATTATGGTTTAACAAAAAATTAACTAATTATTTAATATGAATGAAATATGAGCAGAGAGTACAGTCATGTTGTTTGGTTCTGTTCTGCTGTGAGTGCTTCTAGTTAGACTCTATCTGTTCCTCATTCAGCTGTGCAAAGATTTTTTTAATCAAATAACTTTTCCCAATAAACCATCACAGCTAGTGTTTTGTGTATATACAAGACATACACAGAGGTTGTGTTTGTGCACCTGTTTGCATGTGTAGCCATGGAACAACCGGTTCTTTGTTTGTGTATACTCTGGGGGATATGTAGTCAGTATGTTCTTCCCATCTTATTTCAGGTCCGTGTTCTCCATTTTAACTTGCGCCATGGGCCTGAAAACTATGAACTCCGCACATGCTCTGTACGAGCGTTCACAGTCGACCTCTTTTGTACCTGGAGGGCATTTCTAGGTTTGCTTTGTGAGCGCTTCTCCTACAGGACACCCCAGGGTCTCAACAGCCCTCACCTATGTCGTCCGAGGCAGAACAGACTGAAACTGGAATGGGTGCCAAAGCCTGACGAACTCCCACAGGAACAGTATGATAAGCAGCAATACAGGGGCCTAACTTTGTCTAGCCCTGAGGTCACGTGGTCGGATGACATGATGAACATGCACTACAGTCCCTGTGAAATCACAGACATGCAAGGCTTTTTGGAGGAGCTGTTGAAGATATCACTTGCTGAGGGGTTCAAGGTTGATCTAGTCTCTCCTGACCCTGCAGATATTCTTAACTGCACTTCACTTCGTCTTGTGAAGTCGTGAGCACTGGATGAAAGTGACTAGGAAAACCAGAACATACCAAGATAATAAACTATAAGATAAGATGAGATAGCCTTTATTAGTCCCAGAGTTAAATTTGAAGCAATGAATTCTCTATGACATGGAGTTAGATCTACTGACACATTATGACTAGGAGGTCATTATCTGTGGTTCTTTTGTTTTGCTATCATAGAGTTTACTAAAAATAATGCAAAATGTGCTTTATTAATAAAATGGTAAATAAAATGTACTTTTTTGTGGAAATTCTGATATTGAGGATACAACTTCAAAATTTAGTTTGGGCTCTGTTTAAAAATGGCAACTGTTTTTAAAAGTAGTGCAGTGTGAGTAGTACTAGAGCACACACCAAGGAATGATAATATTCATAGCCTGTTAGTAACTCGGCTAAATGTGTGACATATATTGTGACTCACTTTACAACAGTGTTGGGAAGGTTACTTTTAAAATGTATTCCACTACAGATTACAGAATACATGCCCCCAAATCTAGTTTGTAACGTATTCCGTTAAGTTACTCAATGAGAGTACCGTATTCTGAATGCTTTTAATATATTGTCATGCTTTTTACAACTACATGAATGTACTATTGCTGTGTGATTTATTATTACTACTGAAGGCTACTCGCCACCGAGCTAACATTGTTAGCTGGCGTTATCTCAGGTTAGTTCATCGACTGCTTTCAGAACTGCACGATTATTTGCAGCTAGCAGGTTGTTAATGCTATTCATCAATTGTAACATCAAAGATACTGAAGTGGCACATAACCCAGATAGCTACCACAATTAAAACAAGGTAGTTGCAGTAGGCTAACGTCAGTTTTTTAAAAAGAACTTCCTTCCAGATGTTTTTTTTAGGTTGGGGGTGGAGTCTTTTGAGTGCAACTTCATTGCTGCCAAACAGAGTTTGCATTGAATTGTCAGATTTCACCCATCCGTTTCCTCTTTAAATATGAAGTGGTGTCAGAATTTCCAAGTAAGAAATGCATTTCTGTTCATGCACTGCTGGCTCTGTTGTGCTGGCTTCAGAACCATTGTGTAACTGATGCCACCAGCATTAATAGGACTCTAATTTCGTGTTTTGTTTGGGTTTCCGGCAATGCGTGGAACTACCAGAATCAGAGAGGGGACAGAGAGGGGACAGCATAACATATGAAACAGGAAAAGACCACCTTGTAATCCATTAATTTCAACAAAGTAATTGTATTATAATAATCACCTTGTTACGCCTCCTCGAGGGCAGGAGGGGGTAACACAACAACTCCAGAAACTCAGTACAAGTGTAATAACAAAAGCGAGTTTAATGGCAGCTTTCTCACATAAACAATAACCCAAATTCATACAACAAATGTGGGGGGAGAAAGGGACAGTTAGGTTGTGCCCAAAAAGAAAAAACCAAAACTTAGCTGAGCTCTTACCCTAGAAAAACAAAAAAGGTCTGTAAAGACTTTTATGGGTTCCACACTTAATCCAAGATAAACCTCAAAATGTTGTAGAGCCAACAGAACGACAAGACTTTCTTGTTCGATTGTAGAAGACCTACAGGGATGAGTGAACTTCTTTGAGAAGTAGCACACAGGGTGATCAAGTCCTACCTACCTACCCCAACCACGCTAGCATCAACCTCCAACTTGAATGGTTGGCTAAAACCTTTTTGGTTAAAGGAATCTGCCAATAACCTTTCAACATATCCAGTTTAGTCATAAATGTGGCAGGTCCAATGTCATCAATGCAATTATCGACGAGAGGCGAGGAATACATGTCAGGAACTGTCACAGCATTCACTTTGCAGAAGTCCGTACAGAACCGTGGACTCCCATCAGCTTTAATGTCCAACAAACATGGGGAACTCCAGGGGCTACAACTGGGTATTGCAAGTCCATTTCTAACAAGATACTCTACTTCCTTTTTCACAACTTCTCTTTTGATGGGATTGACTCAGTATGCACGCTGTTTAATGGGTGCAGGACTGGTAAGAAAAATGTCATGGGATATCAAACTCGTCTGGGTAGGAACATCCCCAAACATACACCGGAAAGACACAACCAGGTTCTGAATGTCTTCAGCCTGATTAAGTGACAGGTGAGACAAATAGTGGGACAAGTCAGACAGAATCTCACTATTACTTAGTCTCGTCCCCTGTGACACATCTTTGCGCAGGACCGCATCTTCCTCACTGCTTTCATTGGCTATATCTGAAGCTACGCATGCTATAGGGGAGCTAGACTTAACCTTGTGCGGAGTAAGGGGATCATCTTCATTCTCTCTAGAAAGATAATGTTTCATCATGTGGCATACTCTAGTCTTGCGACAACGATCAGAGTTTGAACAACACAAATGGTCTCACTGAGTTTCTTTTCCACAACGTACGGTCCAGAAAACCTTGTTTTCAGAGAAGAGCCCAGAATGGGGAGCAGAACTAGAACCTGATCACCAGGTTTAAACTGACGAGCAACTGCTCTCCAATCATAGTGTTTTTTCATCCTTACCTGCCTAGCAATTAAGGTGTCCCTGGCAATAGGGCAAGCTGATTTAAGGCGCTTTCTAATTTTAGCCACGTACTCAGGGATGCTCTTTAGTGTTTTAGTTGGAACAACTAGCTGTTCTTTAAGGATGTGCAATGATCCTCTAACTTCATGTCCAAATTCAAGCTCTGCAGGACTAAAGCCTAGGGACTCTTGAACTGCTTCACGAGCAGCGAACAATAAGAATAGTATACCCTCATCCCAGTTCTTTCCTGTCTCCAGACAGTATTTGCAGAGCATGGACTTTAATATCTGGTGAAGTGCTCTCTGACTTTCAGGATGGTAGGAGCTTGATGTAATGTGCTCTACTCCTAATGCTTTTAATGCCTGAGCAAAGGTTCTAGACTTAAAGTTGGTTCCCTGATCAGTCTGGACTACCTTTGGAAAACCAAACACTGAGAAGAACCCTACCAGACCTTTACTGATGACAGGAGCGGTGATCCTTCACAGGGGCACTGATTCGGGAAACCTAGTAGAAGCACACATCATTGATAGAATGTATTGGTTCCCTGACTTTGATTTTTGTAAAGGTCCTACAACACCTACAACAATTGACTGACAAGATGACTCAACAGACAAAGGCAAAATACCATCTCGAATGATAGACTGCGAACCACCCGTGTCTCTCAGTATTGTTACAGGCTGGTCGTCAACAGTATCACCTGTTAAAGAAACACAACCCTGTGTGATAAAAGGTTTGAAACAAGGATCTATTTCACGTTGAGATGTTTGGGTTCTGGGAGGTGACACATTTTGAATCAAACCCACGCCCTTGGGTTGCGGCGGTGTAGTCTTATTTTTTTAGTGCAAGGCAATCAGCAATGACATGACCTTTTTTATGGCAATAGAAGCATTCAGGTACCTCACGGGAAAGAAATGGTTGCTTAGCTCTGGCTTCAGGCTGACCAAGATCAGGCTTTGGTGAGCGTGTGATCAAAACTTTATCTAAACGAGGGGATGATGCAAACACATTTTTATGGGTTAAAATGAACTCATCAGCAGATTCTTAAAATCTTCCAATAGGATTAACTGACGAAGGGCTTCAAAGTCCTTCTTCACTTCACTTGCTGTGCACCACTTGTCAAAAAGAACTGCCTTCTCACGTGCAAACTCTACGTATGTTTGACCATTAGACTTCTTGTGATTCCTGAACTTTTGTTGGTAGGCCTCAGGTACAAGTTCATAAGCACGAAAGATGGACTCTTCAGTACATTGTATTTCATGCTATTTTTGATAGAGAGAGATGACACAACCTCCAGTGCTTTGCCCACTAGCTTGCATTGCAGTAGCACAGCCCACATTTCTTTTGGCCATTCCAGTGCTGTCGCAATCCTTTCAAAGCATTAAAGTAAGAATCAACTTCTGTCTCTCTAAATGTTGGCACCAAAGCAATATTTTTGCTCACGTCAAACCTACAGGTGTTGCCTCTCGCAGTCAATGATCCTTCTTCCATTGGTACCCAATCTTGGGTGGGGGTTATAATTTTTCCCCTTACCTGTCGTTCTGGCTCCCCCTTGCCATAACATTT